TTTGAGCACAATTTGTGGTGTTTGATGGAAATATTTCCATTTGTTGCATGTTTTTATTGTTTTGTGGGTGTTAGAGCATTTTGCAAACAAAATGTGTCAATTTGGCCAGTGACTGTAGGAGGAAAAAGGAGAACCCAGAAGAAATCCACACAACATGGGGCAAATATAACTCCACACAGACAGTAACCCGAGCTCAGGATCAAATGTAAGGCCCTGGAGCTGTGAGGCTAAATAAAAAATACTGCTTAATTTATTGGATTATGTTTGTGATTCATTTGTGTGACCAAATATATATTTAAGTGGTGAAAATATGTTTCAGATTTCTTTTTATTTGAATAATGTTTTACTGTCCCACTTTATTTAATCATTTCATTGTAAAAGTAAATCTAGCCACCATCAAGAAAACTCATTTTTAAACTCAAATTTATTCTGAACTAACATGCTGTAGAAATTATGGCTTTGGTTGCCCACAATCTCTCAACAACAGATGACTTGGTGTGTCATGGCCTTAAGTTAAGTAAAAGGAGGATTTACACCTATAAATCCAATTTATTTTTGTTTTTATTATTAAAATTTCTTAATAATAAAATGATCATATGATCACTGCACATGGGCACCTCACAATATATGAAATATTGGCAAGATAGTGTACACCACAAAATATTTTTTAAAGTTTACCACAAATGTAATTGTGGCACAAAACAACTCAAGAACTCAGCAGACTCAGGTTGAGATGACTGGTGAGTGTTGATTATTGTCCATGCCTCACACAGTATTAAAAAAGGCAAAACAAAAAGGTAACAGAAACTTGCCAACTTGCCAGCTTTCCAGTGGCTTGGTTCAGTTCAGTTCAGCTCAGCTCAGCTCAGCTCAGCTCAGCTCAGCTCAGCTTACACGACACATACGCCTCTTGGACCCACTCACTGAGAAAGCAAGAGTGAGAGAAAGAAAACAGCATGTTAAATAACCATTCACAAATAAGATGCAGGTGTGCCATGTTAATTTGCTCATTCCCCCACACTCCCACTGCAGACTCCCATTAAACCCGCCCCCACCTGCCACAATAATATTGTACTGTTGTTCAGCATATTCAGATATGGATTAAGTTTGCAGGCATTGGTTAGCAGAACAGAATGAGCCCGTACCAGTAAAAACACAAGAGCTAGATACTCTGAGTTGCCATTTTACAGTAAATCATTGGTGATGGTGAAATGATCTACCAACACTTTACAACGTACTGTAGCCTGTTTGTCCGGGCCCCCTAGTGGTGTAGACGCTGGCATCTACAGTCTGACTATTGTGCAAATATAGACTTCATATTAAGAAAATAGCAAAGATATTTTAAATTGTTTATCTTTTTCTGTCTATTTGTTGCTCTTTGTTACCTCAGGACTTGTTTACAGCCTGCCAGAACTCCCGAACTAAGGTGGCCAAGTATTTGGAACATCACAAACCAAATACTTTTACCATCATAAAACTGTGTTCCAACAAGGCAACAATAAAACAGCTGACAGGTAGAAACCCATCAATACTTATATTTTATAGTTTAATTAGTTTAGTGTAGTGCCTAAATTTGGGAACAGTAAGAACTTAATTAAATTAGTAAAAAGTCAGCAAATTACCCTATTTTTCCCTCTGAACAAAAGTGTGTGTTAACAATCTGTCAGCCAAAATTCTACACCATGTTAGTTTTAAACTAAATATTCTGAATGTATGATTTAGGATTGACTTTACACCCTGAATGATCAAACTTATGCTCAGCTGGTGCAAATCACCCTTCCCTGTTGGTGATGAAGAAATGTATGTGCAGTAGTTGGAGCAACCTGGAAAAATAAGAATACTCAAAAAAAAAATTTTTGTCAGATCTTAACAATGATTTCAGATATTTGCTTGAAACGTGACCTTATTGATCCATATATGGAATATGGCTCTCTCCCCATTCAGGGAGATATAAACCTGGTCTTGTATGACTGAAAATAAATGATGGAAAGCATTGCCAAGATGGCTGCTGAGTGGACAGTCTTTATATCTATAGACCAAATAGGAACTGATGAAGGCAGAACTAAATTTCATGACTGCACAAGAAACTGGTCAAAGCTTAATTCACACTACATGTTCTGATGACTCTAAAGACTGAAATTATGGGGGTTTTACTAAGAAACATGTACAAAAATTTCAGTGTGACTGCAGATAGTTGTTTAAAGCAGTAGGCTTATCTCAAATATACACCAATAGATTACAAAGTAACCTTTGTATTCATACATCTATACACATGATTAATTGTGTGATGAAGTACAGTTAGGTTGTTCTTCTCACTCATATTCACTCAAAGGCAATAATGGCAAAGGATTTTACTTTATACTGTGTGAATCTGCATGCACTGTGTAGGCTGATTTTATTCTAGTAGGTAAGAGAGGATCAATACATGCTAATGTGAGAGAGAAAAGCAAATGCCAACTTAATTTTCCAGGGATGTCAGTACAGACATGTATATTGTCAACAGGACTGAAGATAAAATGCAGTACATGATCACAGGATCAGGTAGCACATTGTAAAAAATGGTATCTTATCAAGTGAAGATATCTTTAATAAAGAAAAACTCAAATAAAATCTCTAATAAATCTCTCTCACTAATAAATCTAATATCAAAGTCAAAGTCAAAGTCAACTTTATTGTCAATTCTGTTGTATGTACAGGACACACAGAGGATTGAAATTTCGTTTCCCTCAGACCCATGGTGTGAGAAACAAACATAAAACAAGTAATTAAAGGAAGAAAAAGTAAGATAAAATACAATAAAAATATATACTAAAATAAAATAAAATACAATATGTACACTATAAACCTACATGGCACATGTGAGTGTATAGATATTTACATTTAGTGCAAAAACAAGAGAGAGCAGCAGTTGTGGAAGTGGACCTGATTACATTGTAGTGCAACAGAGAGAGCAGCATTAGTAAAAGTGGCTTGTGCCTTTGTGCATTTGTGTGATTTGGGGTGTGTGTGTGTATGTGTGTGTGTGCAGTTATAGTTCGGTGACTCTTAAGGCAGAGGGCATAGAGGGGAGAGAGTTCAGCTTTCTGACAGCCTGGTGGCTGAAGCTGTTCTTCAGTCTTGTGGTTCGGGCCTGAAGGCTGCGAAATCTCCTCCCTGATGGCAGAAGACTGAAGAGGCCTTGCAAGGGGTGGGTGGGGTCCCCTGCTACGCTGAGAGCTTTCCGGGTTAATTGAGTGTTGTAAATGTCTGTGAGGGAAGGTAATGTGGCACTGATGATTTTCCCTGCTGCATTCATTATACGTTGCAGTGTCTTCTGGTTTTGGGCAGTGCTGTTCCCAAACCACAAAGTGATGCAGCTGGTCAGGATACTTTCAATGGTGCCATGGTAGAATGAGTACATTATGGGTGTCGGGACTCTGGCTCTTCTCAGTTTGCGGAGGAAATAGAGGCGTTGCTGTGCTTTCTTTGCCAGAGATGCAGTGTTGGTGGTCCAGGAGAGGTCCTCTGTTATGTGCACACCCAGAAACTTGGTGTTGCTCACCCTCTCCACAGCAGCACTGTTGATGATCAGAGGAGGGTGCTGGGTGTGTGCGCTCCGAAAGTCAACAACAATCTCCTTTGTCTTCTCTATGTTTAGAGAGAGATTATTGTTGGTGCACCATATGGCCAGTTGTTGCACCTCATTTCTGTAGTTTGTCTCATCGTTGTTCCTGATGAGACCTACCACTGTTGTATCGTCTGCAAACTTTATGAAGAGGTTGGTGCTGTACATTGGTGTGCAGTCGTGGGTTAGCAGGGTGAAGAGCTGGGGGCTGAGAACACATCCTTGTGGTGCCCCTGTGTTCAATGTGATAGTTCTGGATGTGTTGTTTCCAACCCGAACTGCCTGTGGTCTTCCGGTGAGAAAGTCCAGCAGCCAATTGCTCAGGGAAGTGTTAATGCCAAGCCGATCCAGTTTCTGTATTAACTGCTGTGGGATGATGGTGTTAAATGCCGAACTGAAATCTAGAAACAGTATTCTCACATAAGCTTCTTTTGTTTCCAAGTGAGAGAGAGCTGAGTGGAGAGCAGTGGAGATTGCATCATCGGTGAACCGGTTGGCCCGATATGCGAACTGGAAGGGGTCAAGAGAGGGGGGGATGATGGCTTTGATGTGTTGCATGACTATCTGCTCAAAGCAGTTCATGACAATGGAGGTCAGAGCAACAGGACGGTTGTCATTAAAGCTGGATGGGAATGGCTTCTTAGGGACCGGCATAATTGTGGTAGTTTTGAAGCATGTGGGGACAACAGCCTGGCTCAGGGAGGTGTTAAAGATGTCTGTGAAGACATCTTTGAGCTCTTCTGCACAGTCCTTCAGCACGTGACCCGGTATGTTGTCTGGACCAGCTGCTTTCCGGGCATTGATCTTAGAGAAGGTTCTCTTCACGCTGGCTGGAGAGATACACAGAACCTGGTCATCAAGAGAAGGTGGAGACTTTTGTGCAGGCATGGTGTTGTGTGCTTCAAAACGTGCAAAGAAATTACTGAGTTCATTTAGCAGAGAGATGTCATTATCGCAGGTCTGTGGTGGGAGTTTGTAGTCAGTGATGGTTTGGATTCCCTGCCACAGGCTCCTTGTGTCCCTGCTGTCTTTGAAGTTGTGGGTTATCCTCCTGGCGTATTGTCTTTTCTAAAAAAAAGTGAAAAAGTGAAGTGACGTGTGGTCAGGTATGGTGACCCATACTCGGAATTTGTGCTCTGCATTTAATCCATCCAAGTGCACACACACCCAGAGCAGTGGGCAGCCATTTTAGCTGCAGCACCCAGGGAGCAGTTGGGGGATCGGTGCCTTGCTCAAGGGTCTCACCTCAGTCGTGGTATTGAAGGTGGCAGAGAGCACTGGTCATTCACTCCCCCCACCTACAATCCCTGCCAGACCCGAGACTCGAACCCACGACCTTCAGGTTACAAGTCTGACTCTCGGACCATTATCGGACCATGACTGCCCCATAAAACTGTGCTCCAGGTGAGGCTTGAACTCACAACCTTGGCATGGCTTCACTTGTACCGCGCGCTAACCGATTGCACTACTGGAGCTCTGATAAAACTGGGGCTCGTCCTTTTTGATGCCACGGGACAGGTTGGCCCTAGCTGTTCTTAGGTCGTCGTCATCGCCAGCCCTAAAGGCAGCATTTCGTGCCTTCAGGAGGTTATGGACCTCTCCTGTCAGCCATGGCTTCTGATTTGCTCGGGTGGTGATGGTCCTGGTTACAGTTACATCATCAATGCATTTGGCGATGTAGGCAGTGACTGTCTCAGTATTCCTGAATGTCAGTGTGCTGGTTATTATTTCTCATAATTAAATTATTATATAACAAATATAAGACCATTCTTAACATATTTACTAATTTCAAGATTAAAATTTTATTTTTTATTCTAGAAATAAACACTTGAAATAAGCAAAATTATCTGCCAATAGAACAAGAAAATTTAAAGCGTGAAATTAGAAAATATGTCTACAAATAGGTTCAGTGATCTTCAGTGATAGATTTGTTTAAATTAATTACACAAAAATGTTAGTTAAATTTCCCTATATTGAACATATTTTTACTTTCTGAGATATAATTTTTTGCAGTACATCAGTAATCCCTTCCAAAAAGACAGCACACCACACACACACACAAAAAAAGCCGTAGCGAGAGAAAATATTTTGAATAGTGATCTAGTCATTCCTATAATAAGATTACACCATATGTAAGATTATTATTTCTAGACATTCTTGCTAATTTCAAGCTTGAAATAGTCTGGTTCTGTTGTCAGATGATTTTGCTCATTTTTTTAATTTCTAGAAAGAAGCAAAATTATCTGCTAATAAAATAATAAAACCTAAAGAAATAGGTTTAATAATCTTAAATTTGGCTTATTTTAATTTTATAATCAGAAATACTAGATCAATTTGACTATAATTAAGATATTTTCACTGACAAAAAATGTAATTTTTTGCAGTGTAATGTCTCAGATGTGGAAATAAAAAATAATAATTTATTAATATATATAAAGGCCTTTGTCATGGCAACACTGGAATCGGCATCCAACTACAACACGCATTACATGACACGGCCTACATACATGGCTGCTACGGACTCCAACTCTCATCACTCATGTTCCATCTCACCTGATTGCTAATCATCATTTTCTTATTTTTGCTCTTTGCCTAGCCCAGCTTATGCTATTTGCACATTGCCTGACCATTGCTTGTTCTCTGACCTTGTTTACCTCCATCTGCATCCGTATCTGCTGCCTTAACAAGATGCATTTTTATACTTTTTAGGCTTTTTTTTTCAGATTTACTTTTTAGGTGATGATATGATTATATTATTGCACTTGATCTAATATGTTGTCCTATTCTATAGTAACAGCTCATTCACAGAGATTTGTATGGAGTATGCTCTGCATTATCTATGTCTAATGAGAAATGGATTAAAAAACACATTATCTAACAAAGAAAAAGTTTGCCATTGAAAAGACTTTTAACATTTATGGATGGAGTCTTGGTGTCAGGTTTTTGTAATGGTCAGTAAGTTCCCCTTCAGGAACTCGAGCTGCGTCGATACGCTATAGGAATGCCTTCAGCGTGACCGCGCTCTGAATCACGTGTGTAATCAGTCCAATGGATGGGCGAGACGTCACAGGCGGGGTGACGTAGCGACCCGGAAGCTTAAAAGCACGAGCGGTGGGCGCCGCGGCAGCTTTCTGTCATTCAGCAAGCGCTCTGTGTGTATTGTCTGTCTATTTTGTATTGTCTGTCTAAACAAAACATAAGGGCGAGAGCGGGCAGCGTTTTAGGCTGTGTGTTCCTCCCTGTTATATTACAGGTGGGGATACACACAGCCTGTGCGTTGTCTGCTTGGGAGCGGAGCACGCAGAGTCGGCTCTCGAGGGAGCCGGCTGCTCGCATTGCGAGCGTTTGCCGCTGCGTGCGCTTCGCTCCCAGAGAGCTCTCTTCGAGGAGGGAGCCTCCACTCGCGATCCTCGCGGTGCTGGCCCCACTTCTGCCGAGGCAGAGCGGCGGTTACACTCGTGGGGTTCGCAGATGGATTTGGTGGAGGGAATGGAGACGGGCGAGTCCCTTTCTCCTTCCTCACCCACCAGATCCACTGCTCGCTCTCTGGGATCGGAAGCCCGCTTTGCGGTTTCTTCCCCCCGGGGAGTGGGCTCGGCGCTCTGCCTGTCTTCCTCTGAGGAGGTTGACGTGGAGGGCGCCGATGATAATTCGCCCCTCTTATGGATTTGGTGGAGGGAATGGAGACGGGCGAGTCCCTTTCTTCTTGCTCATCCGCCAGATCCACTGATCCTTTTATGTGGTTTCGCTTTCGCTGCGGCATGCCTAAAGCTCGCGAAAAGACGAAACATGAGGCGAAAACAGGCAGCATTTTAGGCGGTGTGTTTTTCTCTGTCCGCGCTGTATTACGGGTGGGGATACACATGGTCTGTTCATTATCTGTTTAGGAGCGGAGCCCGCATTGTGTGCGTTTGCCGCTGCGTGTGCTTCGCTCCCAGAAGGCTCTCTTTGAAGAGCCGCCACCTCCACGCCGGAGCCTACCTTTTTTCCCTGACCTCCACACCGAGGTGTCGAGGTCGTGGAGGAGGCCTTTCTAGACTCAGGAGATCGTTCTGCCATCTCACTTGGCACATCAACTGCCTGGAGGTGCTGGCTGTGTTTCTAGCATTGAAGCACTTTCCCCCAGACCTGAGAGATCGCCACGTGTTGGTGCGCACCGACAACACAGCAGTGGTCTCTTATATCAACCACCAGGGAGGATTGCATTCGCGCACCCTTTACAGGCTGGCGCTCCAGATCCTTGTGTGGTCCCAGGGGAAACTCCTCTCTCTGAGAGCAGTTTACATCCCTGGCCGTCTCAATATGGGAGCAGACGCCCTGTCGAGGCAGGAGCCGATGCCCGGGGAATGGAGGCTCCACCCCGAGGTGGTGGAGCAGATATGGAGAGTGTTCGGCCGGGCTCAGGTGGATCTGTTTGCGACTCAGGAGACATCGCACTGTCCCCTCTGGCTCTCTCTGACTCATCCAGCTCCTCTCGGACTGGATGCTATGGTACAGACGTGGCCGGGGCAGCGTCTGTACGCCTTTCCTCCCTGGAGAGAGTGCGCCGGGACGGGGTCCATCTGTTGCTAGTAGCCCCGTTCTGGCCGGGCCGAGTATGGTTCTCGGACCTGATTTCCCTTCTCGACGGCTCTCCATGGGAGAATCCCGTCAGGAGGGATCTCCTCTCACAGGCAGGGGGCCCTTCTTCCACCCCCGCCCCGAGTTGTGGAAGCTGTGGGTGTGGCCTCTGAGGGGGCACAACTCATAGCTTCCAGTCTCTCAGCCGAGGTTGTTGAGACCATTCTCCAATCCAGAGCTCCCTCAACAAGGAAACTGTACGCCTTGAAGTGGAAACTTTTCACTTCCTGGTGCGGAGACCGCCGGCTCGACCCAGTTAACTGCCCAGTTGGTACAGTGCTGGAGTTCCTGCAGGCCCGTTTCTCCGCAGAGTTGACCCACTCCACCCTGAAGGTTTACGTGGCGGCCATTGTGGCCTACCACGCCCCTCACAGTGGTCAGTTTATGGGCAGACACCCCCTAGTTACATGTTTCCTACGCGGTGCGCTGAGGCTGAGGCCTCCGGTACGAACTCGTGTCCCTCCGTGGGACCTGGCTGTGTTGAGGCTTTCTGTAAACCTCCTTCTCTTGAGAGAGTTGGGGATCTACAGGCCCTCTCAGTGGCCCTCTCTTTTTAGGCTTTGGGCCCGTTCTGGCCAAAGCATTTCTCTACCCTCGAGTGGGGTATATTCCCAAAAGTTCCCTCCTCTACACCACGGCCTGTCGTACTCCAGGCCTTCTGTCCTCCTCCCTTTCGGGAGCCCGACCAGCGGAGGCTTAACTGTATGTGTCCAGTGTGAGCACTGGACGCATACGTCCTCAGAGCTGCCCGGTGGGTCGTGGATGCCATCTATCTGGCCTATGAGTCCTCTGATCTCCCCTCGCCCTTGGGAGTCAAGGCTCACTCCACTAGAAGTGTGGCGGCCTCCAAGGCCTTTTCTGGCAGGTGTCACTATGCAGGACATCTGCAACGCTGCGGGTTGTTCCGTGCCCCTGACTTTCATCGGGTTCTATGGCCTCGACACACAAGCCACTCCGGGCTCTTTTGTTCTCTCACCCTAGCTGTGCTCTTCCACACTGGGCAGGGATTTGTAAGTCTGGCGGCGTGGGCATACTCGTTCCCATAGCGTTTCGACGCTGCTCGAGTTCCTGAAGGGGAACGTCTCCAGGTTACGTATGGAGACGTTTTCCACCACAAGAGAGTCTTCAGAACAGAGGAGTTGTTTTTTTTTTTTTGGTAACAAGCTATATTAACTTCAAGAAGGGAAATGAGAGGGTGGTGAGGGAATGACTGTTTAATAGCTGTTTTAAGTAAGTTGTAACAGGAATGTACTTGTCTCACAGGTATTCCATAACATAAAACTAACTATAAATGATGTGTTATTCATTAATAAAACACAAATTTTAATCCTTGGCAAATCCCTGTGCTATAAGAGGAATAAAATAGTTCAGGCTGTGCTGTTAAGGTAATATCACACCCATTGTCATCTTAGAAGGTGAAAACATCTGGAATATAGTTAAATTGATCTAGTATTTCCTACAGTAAGCCAAATATAAGATTATTAAGCCTATTTTTAGACATGTTTACTAATTTCCGACTTTACATTTTCTTATTTTATTGGCAGATAATTGTGCTGCTTTCTAGAAATAACTACTAAAAATTAGCTAAATTATCTGCCAACCAGATTTGAAAAGAGTTTTTAAAAATGGCTAGAAATATGTTTAGTATAAGTTTAGTCCTCGTTCATTTAACCAGATATTAAATACCATAGCTGTGGAAAAATACACATATGTTTCATTTGAGTTATGGTAATTATGGAGATTACTGAGACACCAAGGTGGTGTAAAATGCATCTATAGGAGAAAGCTCGCAGCTGGACCTGTGAGTGTAAAAAAAAAAATTCTGCTTAATGAATTCTGAATTGCAGTGTTTTAT